TAATAAGTTTAAAACACAAATAAATATTCCAGTTTGGAGAGATTTAATGGTATATATAAAGGGACAAAATATTAATTCGCAATACATATACGATATTGTGAACGCAAGTTCTGTAACGGTTAATGCCTGCGTATTGCGTATTAAATAATTAGGAGACATGGTAGTGTCTCGGGTGTCAAGTCAACTGAACGCTATCGTGTAACTTTACGCGAGTCGGCGAGATGCGAGCAAAACTCGGATCTCAATAACCGATAAATCGATCAATTTCTAAGTAAATTTGATCGGTAGTTTGAGTTCGACTTGTATAATAAAAGTATTTTTATTTTTCTGCTACGTGCACTAGGGGAGATATTGCTATGCAAAGTTCGATTTGGAAAAATTTGAAAATTTTTACTTTAAGAAAACGTCGTCGTTGTCGTCATCATCATTTTCTCCCATGTACAGTTGCACTTTCTGTCGCGAGAAGTGCTCCAATGTACACCTGTCAATGATTCGCTGGGTCTTACAGTGACCCCGACTTATCGGCCCGATTTATCCGCAGTCAATAAGACTTTCAAGATCATTGAAAGATTTGCACTGTTATACCCCGGATGGGCTACAACGTTAATTTTTAAGGATAGTCGGGTTCGTTAAGCCTAAGGAGTTGGGACTCCGAGCAGGATCAAACGAATGGAAGGAAATCTTGAAATCACTAACACACTTTCTTTAGGATACTTGATTTATTTAACAACTGCACACTTTCTTGGATTTAATTATTGCTTATATTATTTCTTTCACACACGGTTAAACGTCGGCGGGCGCGTATCGCGTTACTCTGGCGGCCGTCGACCGAGTATGTCACCTGAGATGTTGATAGTACGGCTCGCGTGAACTTCGCTGTGCTCGTGTAATATCTTGCGCGATAATTATAACGATTCCGAACGACACGTAATGTTTGATTGATTCCCGACTCTGACTATTCCGCCTTGTGTAGCCGGTTATATAGTCTGATCGATGCCTGGTCAGCATTCTGATCGTTTGCGTCGATCGGTTGCGTGATATTGATCAATCAATATCACGCTCGATTTGATCATCAAATTTAGGAATTTGCTGATCAGCTTTTTCGCAATGTTCTCGCGATGCATTTCTTCGGTCTTTCGAAAGACTGGTCGCGATTTCGGCGACCACACATTTGTGTAATCTTTCGAAAGAGTTTTCGAGGTTCGTGCAACCTAATTTTGTTACCATGCGGACTACTTTTATTATTGGTTGTAGGCCTGGCTACAACAGCACTAACAGTTTACATTATTCACGTATATCTTCTTTATATCTTTGTACATACTAACCTAATCTATTAACACAATCAATCGATAACATATTCAATTAATTAAATATTGATTGAAACATATTCAATTGATTGATTGAAGTTTGCACTGTTCATGTATATCTTCTTTATGTCTTTGTATCGAACTAATCTATTAACGCATTCAGTCGATAACATATTCAATTAATAATATCAATAGATAATATAGTTTATGTACTAATCTCTATGATATAAAATCTTGCAGAGTTGATAATACAACAATATAAAAAATGCGTTGATAATACAACAATATAAAAAATGCTTATCACATGCGCTCGCATAGTATAATAAAAGAAATACTAGAGGTCCTATAAACAAAGGGCGTTACCATCATGTAAATCATGTAAATAATAAATGATAAGTTAGGGTCACTGTAGGATCCAGCGAATCATTGGTGAGCAGAGTATAATATGCTTTGTGTAAAATTAATTAATGTATCTTTAACTTAACAAGATGCATGATATTATTACAAAATTACCTTTTTAAAAAAGGTAAACAACGGTATTGTTACGTCGTGACGACTGCACGATTCTTCTCTTTCGAGTATCACTTATTAGAATTTAGTTAAGCAGATAAACGGATGACACATGTTCTGTTACTCTGTTAGAGCGCGACGGTTACGCAACTGATCTCTTCCCGGAATCGGTTACTAAGAATTTGGTTAAGCGGATAATCCCTATTATCCTAATCGCGGAAAAACAACACGTGTACAGATGTTTTCCTCAATGAAATCATATATATATTGTAAGAAAGTTACTAAGAAGTCCCTAGGATATCCGGTGGATGGCGCCATGAGTGCTGTTCAGTAACCAAAAGAGCGCCTCTCGAACGAACACGACTCGAGTGAGTGACACGAAAAAGGGACCAATCAGACAAGGGCTGATGCAATCCTTGTTATTTCTGAAATCACCGAACGTGCTCCGATGCGCGGAGCAGCGAGCGACGGGTGACTCTCTCCTTAGTCGGCGAATGGGACGGACGTGTCATCCGCGAGAGATCCAGTCGAATAGTCGAAAAGTAGTTGTACTTAATATAGTCGAGATATCGTCTCCAACGATATCTATTAAATCGTAGTATTACGTGGTACTCAGTGAAAATAGATAAATTAGTTAAAGGCAGTGATTGTAGGGAATAACATCGAGATAGCGTTAAAGGCGATATTTATTAAAACGTGTATTAAATCATAGACAATAAATAAAAGACAGACAGTAAATCCTGACAAAAACGGTTATTTTATTTAACTTTAAAAAGAACAAGAATCTTACAGTCAAAATTTCAGAAGTGGGATTTGAATTTGCGTCATCATAAAAAAAATATAAATATAATAAACGCTGTGTTGATCACGGGCACGGAACAAGGTGAGCACGTGCACAGAACGTGATGCCGAGGACAAGGATGATGGAAAGAGCGACACTTGAAGCAGCATCACTGGAGCAACTCCAAAAGGAAGCGAAAACGTTTTTCGTCTCCCGTTGTCGGAGGATCGAAGAATACTTATTGAGACAATTATGTCTCATTTAGAGAAAATAGACCCGACGGAGCTAGCAAGGGAGGAAAGAGGGGAAGCAGCCTCGTTGGAACATCCAGTAACAGCGACCGCATTACACCACGCGCTCGCGAGGATCACAGAACTATCCTGCAACAGCAAAGAGAGATGCAGAAAGCGCAAAATCAGTTATGACACAGGTACTCCAAGAAGTCAGATCTAATGGTACGGGAAACGAGAGACAGGAGGTGGTGTCGCGCAATGAGATGGGTGAAAGCGGGGAGTCGAGATTACCGAGGGCTGGCTCAGGAACTATGGACTGCTCACCAGCTCGGCAGGAGATACGGCCGGCTCCCTACGCAGCAGACGTATCAACGGGGAATGTAGTCAATTGGTTGGCCTCACAAATTCCCGAATTCGGCGGAACTGAAACAGAAAATATAAGTGCGTGGGTGCAACGCGTGGACAAGGTAGCACAAGTACACGGTGCGTCCGATGGAGCGACCTTACTCGCGGCGTCGAGCAAGTTAATAAAATTCGCACGCACGTGGTACGATATCCAGAATGGAGTAGCAATTGAATCGTGGTTCGGACTTAAATCGGAGTTAGTGAAAGTGTTCGGGAAGAAAGTGCCCTTCTATAAGCAGATGCAGCGAATAGAAGCACGTAAATGGAACCCGAACAAAGAAACGTTCGATCAGAACGTAATTGCTAAAAGAGCATTGATGCAAATGATAGACTTACCTACCAGAGATATGATACATATTCTCATAGGCGGGATACCGCAGAATGCGTTAAGGGCAACAGCACTTTCCGTAGCTGATACCTCGTTGGACGTATTCCTGGAAAAAATGAGAAATATTACGGAAGGTATGTTGGATAGTAGAGAAGAAATACGTGTGTGACACCGAACTTTAACAAGACTAGACGACATAGTGTGTCGCAATTGCGGAAAACGGGGGCATACACACAAGGATTGCAGAGGCGATCCTACCTGCTTTTTCTGCAAGGAAAAAGGACATCGTCAATACGACTGTCAGGCTCTACGGAACCGACAAGGGACGCAAGGAGCACGCAGGCCACAAACGGTGCAAGCAGCAGCAGCGGTGTTCGAGGAGGCAGAGGAAGATTCGGTG